AAGATTGTAGTTATCAAGGAAGCAAGAAATCATGGAGTTCCACAGGTGGTGAGAATTGCAAGAAAAGAAACTGTTAAAGTAGAAGTGGTAGTCTACATAGATAGAATGTGATTAAGGCACTTAATGATGTATGTGCATAATAATTCACTTTAAAATGAATATATTGCTCTTGACCAAATATGACAAGGATAATTTATTCAGCAACAAAAGTAACCAGATATTTTTTTTCTCCTTGGAAAGTCTTAATAAGAAAAAAAAATATTAACAATAAAAAATTCAATAAAATTAATTTTGTGGGTAAATGAAATAAGTCGAGAGAAGTATTTCTTTTTATTAGAAATCATTATATTGTGAGAATACAATTGCCTTTTAATGATAAACAAAAGAAATAAAAAAAAAAAACAGCATATGTACAGAGAAGAGTTGAATGCATCAGTAAAGAAAGAGAGAGAGGAAAAAAAAGTTTTTGTTTTTAAAGAAAATAGTTCATTATATTTTTTTTATTTGTACATCCATTTCATACATATAGCCTCTGTCAATTACAAATTTAAAACAGAAATATTTTATAGAGTTTTCATAATCCACAACTCCAGGGATGGGGGAATTCACATGACTTTGCAAAACATTGCCAATAATCATGTTTTATTTATCTTTTTAATCAAATTGTTTAAAATTATATCTTAACAGATGAAATAATTTTTGTTCAACATGGAAAATACTTTATTTAACTGTAGAACACACATGCCATAGTTTTTCAAGTTGACAAATAAATGTACATACATAACTGACAACGGACATTAAACACACAGAGAAAATATTGTTGTTGATAATTTAGGAAACATGAATAGAAAAACTGATGAGCACAGAACAGGAAACCTAAACAGTCACCGAGAAAATTGAACCTGAATGAAATTTCACACACACACACACACATTATATATATATATATATATATTTCATACATATACACTTGCATGTACCCACACTTGCATACATAAACAGTTTGTTGACCTCATCTAACCGGAATGGTTTTTCAAGCTTTATTACATTTACTAAAGACTGAATGTTTTATTGACACTAATGTAATTAACTGAATGTTAATGTCATGTAAACAGAGTTTATGAACACTTGATGAAAACTAATACAAAAAGGCTTAAAAAGTTTAACATTTTGATGTTTGGGTGATCATGAAATTTTTAAGCCAAGCTCTTTGCAAATTTTTCACACATGAAATATGATGGATTTCATTAACCTTCCATCCATTAACTTCACTCCACATTATTAATATTTCTTTTTCCACTGCATTCTTTTTCAAGACCTCAATTGCAGTAACCTTATTGTTAATTTCACTTGGAGGTGTTTTCTGTTGCCATAGCAGGATATGACAACTATGAAATTCAATCAAATTCAGGGATCAGAGTCACCTTCAGTGGTAGGATGAACTTTTTGCACAGCAAATGCAGTCATATACAGAAGGATAAAGGTTGAATAAAATTCAAAAAACTTCCAACATCTAAATGAAATGGAATGGAATGGCCCTTATTTAAAAAGAAAAACAAAAAAGAAAAAAAGTGAGGTGGATATCAACACAAGAACCCAGAGATTCCATGCTGTGAACAACAATTTTAAGGATCTGCCAACTGATGTTACGACTTGAAAACTATTTCCTAATTTCATGAAGCTTGAAACTTTCCCAATGGCAAACAATCGTCTTTTCTGGTTACCATACAACTGATTACTGAATGAGGTAGACAAAAAACAAACTTTGTTGAGGATAAAATCCAGCTGTACTTGGAAATAAAATTAAGTGACAAAACAACTTGACATCTGAACCCAAATCATATTTTAACATTTTTGGAAGAATAAAATTAACCATTTTTAAAAACTTTAAAAACATGCATGCATGCACACACACACATGCGCACTTTTGTTTAACTTAGTGTGGCACAAGGCTAGATGGAGAGAAGTAAGACTGTGTTTCAACAGTCTTCCAAGTGATAAAAGGCTGTTTACTTGAAAAGCAATATTTAAAATAGAGTATTTTTTAGCTGGGCTTGAACACTGATCACTGTTGTTGGTGGGAAATATGCAACTATCTCAGCCATCATAGCAGGCCTTCCCATCACCGCATACACATGTAGCATTCTAGAATTATTAGAAAAAGAAAATTGAAGTAATGATCTGAGACTGAAATACATTGTTATATGCAATTAGTTTTTTGGGTTTATTTTATTTAATTTTTTTTTTTAAATGCATACAATGCACCACAGTTAAGAGAGCAAAAAAGAAAAAAAAATATTAGATAAAAATTCCATTGAAAGAAGGCTGAAGAATCAACCAGCCAAAACATTATGGAAATAAAGATGACAATTGAAAGAAATTGTTTAATATGTCTATTTATAACTCATTTAAATAAGTCTATTTTTGAAATATGTTTATACATATTAAAAAAAATTATCTAGTAATAGTTATTATAATTTTCCTATTAATTACATCAGCTACCAACATAATTGTCTTAATTTATACTTTTAATATTTTAAAATTCACTGTAAAATTGATGAAATTTATCATTCAGTGTGTCTAAATATTTTTTATTATTTCTTAATTGCAATTAAAATTATATTCATGTTGTGAATCCCGTAACCTATGAGAATTGTAGGAGCACCACATGTACTGCAGCTATGGCAGCAGTGGTGCGTCTAGGAGAAGATAGAGTCCATCCCTCTTCTAGGTTTATGATCAAACAAGCACACACACACCAGACCCATACCTGTGTTAAATGCACATGTATTTCTCAGAAATAAATTTCCCATCTCTCATAAGCTTAGCTACATGCTAGTGTTGAATTGTATTTATGGGGATTTGTTTTATCAAATATTGAAAATACACTGAAGTAGTTTTTAATAAATAAAGTCATGAGGAATTTTTGAATGGATGGAAGCTGTTGCATTTATAAGATTTGAGACAAAAAAGGAAAATTCTGTGCACCCCCTCCCCTCAAAAAATGCAGAGAAATTATATAATTTACAAACACCAGCAAATATTGAGTAAGTATTTTTGATTTATATACTTTCATGAATAATTGTAAATAAATGAAATATTTTTGAATGATTGAAAATCAATTCTATTCAATGTAAAATAATATTTTCACTAACATTTTTTCCCGCAAGTTTTCATTTTGAAAATTAATTTTGTGGTGGTTTTGGTTGTCAATATTAGATGAGATCAGAGATTATTAGACGTGGGAATATTTTTGAAAAGAAAAAAATATTCTTAATCTGAATTAGTGCACCTCCTGAATGAATGCAATCACATTAAATGTTTTATCTCTTAGCTGACTAAATTCAAATCACATGTTGTAAGAAACTATTTCTGAAGAAATTTATGTAAAGCCACTTGAAAATAAGTGTTAAAAAAAATCCTCATTCCTCAAGTAATTTGAACCAAATAATTATAAATAAATAATCAACACCTAAAACTGCCTTTGTTCCTTCATAGAATCTTATGATAAAGAGGCTTCAGATCTGTCCGTGAAACTGGGAACAAATGTATAGCAGTTTTAACAGGCTGAGCTTTGAAAATGAAAATCTTTCCATGGCTGAAATAATAATAATAATAATAAAAAAAAAAAAATTCAAGAATGTAGAAGCAATGCATCTCAGACATCATGGTGAATGTTTTGCAGAGATGTGTGTTGAGGAATTGAGTTGTTACACAGAGTTGCCAATTTAGCTCCTTTTAGAACTTGATCAAGCTATTTCAGTGCATTTAGCTCCTATAAACCAGCATCTAGCTCTTTTTCTTATTTTTGGAATAATATTAAAGGAAAAAAATAGCTAGATTCTGAATTATGGGAGCTAAATGGCCTGAAAAAGAATTAGTGCTACCTCCAAAAGGAGGTAAATTGGCAACTCTGTTGTGAGGCCTTCATCTGAATTGCTGACATTTTATTTGACCTTTTCAACAGGCTATTATAAACAAATAAAAATGTCCAGCATTTGGCTGCATCACTTTAAAGCTTTTTAGAACAGCCAATAAAGAGAAACTAACAACAAAATAAATCTGATTTTTTCTCAGTACTGAAAGCAGGATTAAATTAAAAAAACAAAAATAAATTTCCACCTATTCAATATTGGGATGATATCACATTGCCTTCACTCAGGAATCTTCCTCTTTAGAGCCAAAGACTTAAAAAAAAAAAAAAAAAAAAATTTCAAAGTTACCTAATGATGACACCTAATCAAGCCAAGTGATTAGGACTAAAATTTATCAGACTATTATAAAACAGTTTAGAAAAGAACGAGATTGCAGAAAGATCTGAGAGATTCACTCAATAACAACTTATAAAAAGAGAAAGCAGAAAAGTCATCATTGGTGGTTATATTTATAATGAAGCAAAAGAAACTAGGAAGAAAAACTGATTAAATCAAGTGATAGACTTTAAAATGTTATAAAGAATTATTATCAATTATTGCATTGGAAATTTTCAAAAAATGTGTGTTTATTACAGAAGTGAACAAAATTGCTAAACTGATTTTTCCTGTGATGGAAAAAAAAAACAAAACAAAAAAAGAGTAAAAGTTTTTTGTTGTATGACAAAATGAAGAAATTGGAAAAGCATACATAAGATGCATTCATTTTGACAGATCGAAATCTAACAACACACACACAAACATACATACACACAAACGAAAACACAGAGAGAGAGAGAGGAAATTTAGGGAGAAAAAACCCACTCTCTACATACAACTTTGTTTCTGTCTCTCAGAGGAATGACAGCATTTAAATCTGCTACTCCAACAACCTGATAAAAATGTCAAGAGGTGGGTGAACAAAAACTGTGCAGATGACCAAGCTCTTTAAATGCAGTTTTGGTCTGACAATGCAGAATAAAAAGGAATGTATATTAGTATTATTATTATTCCAAGGCTGCTTAGGAGACATTAGCAGAAAAGAGCAGCAGTAGCAGCAAAGAAGACAGAGCTGAGTAAAACAAACCCTCAGAGTTCAGAATGGTCAGTGGAAAACTTCAACTTTGGTGCATGTCTGAAGCTTGGACTCTGAAAATAACACAAAAAGAAAAAAAAAAAAAAGAGTAAGTGTAAAAAGGAATTGAAATTTGAGGTTTTTTTAATAAAATTTATGTTACTGGATAAAACTTTGAATTAAAGCGTTTCTTTAAAAAGAAAGTTTGAAAATTTCATTTTTTTTTGGATTGTATATTGTCTGGAAATAATGAAATGATAATGAAAATAACAAGAATCTATCAGTAATGAGAATCAAAAAAGAAATCAAAAGTTGATCGACATTATTTAAATTTTTTATATAAATGCAAGAAATTGTAGAATCGCCAAGACTCCAAAAAAGAGAACAACAAATACAAGAGTAAGTAGTTGCTGGTGTAGCTTCTTAATGGTTAGTGATAAGAGACAGAGGTTTTAATTTTTATTCACTTGTAACAAAATTAAGTAAAAGAAGACTGAAGTTAAAATTAAAAGTCCTCTACCTGAGTGGTTAGTCTAAATTTTCAGTGTTATACCAGATTTAATCAGAGAATTGTGACAAATGTATGTTTAAAGAAGCTAGTGAAGTTTCATCTAAAGATAATCCATTTAAGCCTGGCCTATACAAAGGACAATTTAATTAGCTTTCTAACATGGTTCAAATCCAAGTTTATTATCATACCAGAAATTCATACAGAAACTAAGCTTTTCATTTGATAAAACATTCCAGATAAATTATAAAATAAATCTGTAAATGCATTGCATAATAGAATTAAGAGCAGTGACAGATATTACTTAAAATATGAGTGAATCTAAACAAGTGGACATAATTAACTTGATATAGCTGGTAAATAAATGGAAAAAAAATTTCAACCAAGTGGAAAAGTAATTTGAGATAAGGGTGCACAGCTGAATAGAAAAGCATTCAGCTAGAGTTGATCAAATGCAGTTGGGGTTTTGGAAGAAATGTGAATGCTAATAGCTGTACCCAGATGAAGAAAAAAAATAGCATAAAGATGTGCAGTCTTTGGTTAAATAAAAAGCTTTGATTTGAAAAAAAGGGAAAGAAAAAAAAGCTGTCAAAATACATGAGTATCTCACAAAAAATAAAAAATATAGATAAAATAAAAAAAGTCTTTTTTATGCAAAATCAAGTCCTTTCAGGATGAGGGTGATGATGACTTTTTTTGACACATGATTAAACTTTTATAGTAAAAATTAAACATAAAAACAAAAAAGCTGTACAATAATTTGAAGAGTAAATTGTATAAAAGCTTTCCTTTTGGTTGTGGTAAGATGATATATATAATACCATTTTCCTTGGTGAACTGGCAATAGTACCTTTATTGATTTTCTAGGATAGTAGCTCATTCCTGTTTCAACTTGACTGGATCAGTGAAATATAATCTACTCTTCCTTGGGCCTTGTGCTAAACAAAGTGAAGCTTAATATCTTTAATATAAAACTTTGTAATTTTGTTTAATTGTAATAACAAATCTTTAACAATTAAAAAATGTGATTATAAAGAATTTTTATTAAACAAAATAATGATGGTTTGGGTTTTTTTTAAAACTATATCTAAATATTTTATTAATACATTGAAAATAGATAATATTTAGTTTGCTAATCTCCATCCTTATTCAGGTGATATTGCATTAGTGGCAAATACTAAAAATTCACGTTTTCTGCTTAGAAATCAATTTGGTTTTGAAAGTTGGTTGGAAATGAGAGATTTATTTCCACACCTATGAGGATATAATCAATCTTAGCAAATAGATAAGAACTTTAAACCTTAAAAACAAAAAAAAAATGTTCAAATTAATAAGGTTTTGTAAGAACTTTATGAAAAAAAATTTAAAAAACATTAAACCACCTAAATTTTTTTTTTTTTTTAAATAAAACAAGGGATAACATCTGAGTTATCTCTAGAAACATGAGTAAATGTCTTAAGTACTATTCAGGTTGGAATATAAGAATACAAAGGATCCTCTTAAATGAAAGTATTTTTTTTACTGTACTTAAAACATCTGAGCCTAAAGTAGAAAACAGGAATAGAGATAAAATGTCAAATAGCTATCAAATGTAAGCAATAATAATAGCTATTTTTTAGCAACAGTGTGAACTAAAATTTTTCAACAAATTGTGTATTTGAAGCCTAATCACTGAATCCATAAATTCAATGGTTAAATACACACAACATGAATCATAAATAATTTCCATTTTTGTTTACCAGTTTCATTCTTCAAAATATTGCAAGTAGTTCCCCCCACCCCAAAAAAAGATTACTTATGTATCAACTATATATAATTATTTATTTTAGGATATTAAAACAAAAACATGCTAAAAATTGCAACACAATTACAATTATGTTTAAAATACTCCATTTGTTCTCATTTTACCTGGATATTATATATATGGTCTTAAAATCACTTGAAGTGTGAAACTGACAATTACCACACAGTAATGATTCCTATATCCATACTGTCTATATCTGCAAATACTGATATTGAGCATTCGTCATTATATATTTTACACACACACTTAGGGGAATTCTTGGTTCTAACAAAAGATTAGATTTTAAAAAATATTATTAGATTTGGTTAGATTTTTGGAAGTGGATCAGGCCAAGAATTCCCTTGTATAAAAGCTGGTATATGTCACTGCAAAACATAAAAAAAAAAAAAAAAAAAAAAAATGTATGTATAAATGTTTTCTTTATCAATATATGATGAAATGTCTCAATGGAACATCTAAATATTGATGACCCAAAAAATATAAAATAAAAAAAAAAAAAAAAAAAAAGAAGACAAAACCTGATATTATCTATAATGGCATAAGTATATTCTCAACATTAAAACACCAAGACAGGGTATACCAATGAAAAGTAAGACAAAGTGTCTTATTAGTTTTGTTTGTTGAGATATGATATTCAGTGGAATGTCAGTTGTTCAGGAGGAGAGTCACAAACTTTTTAATATGACAATTTTTATAACATATAAAAACTTGAATTTTTGGTTTGAGCAATATTTAAGTTTTTCTTGGAATTTCAATACAGCTAAAACAAGTTAGATACATAAAAATGCATTAGAGACATCAATTGTTGGTCAGTTGACTTGTTTTCTACAGCTTATCAACCCATTGCAGGTTATTTAAGGTCAGAAAATATTTTTATTGTGAGAATTTTTTTTTTTTTTTTTGAGGGCGGTAATAATGATTTTTACTGATGCAAGTTTTACTAATTAACCATCTCTCTGAGGAGAGAAGTGGTGGATTCATACCTTTCCCAAGGGCATTTATTTGCACATAAGTGGATATAATGAACCTGACTGTAATTGGAACTTGGCTCTCAGATTTCTAATTCTGACCTGTTATCCATTTCACTAACCACACATCCAAGCTTACAGCACCTGATATTCCTAAGTAGTCACCCAGTTAGGTACTGACCAGACTAAAGTTGCTTAACTTCAGTGATCTTATGAGAACTAGTATTTCAATATGATATGGCTGTAAGCCCAGAGGCATCAAGAATTCACCTATACATTAAAATTGTATTTAGTAAAATCATATCAGAAATCAAAATTATAGTATGTCATTCTGGACTAGAATTTCATCATCATTATAAGTTATTTATACAAATCTATTACCAAATTCATAAAATATCTTTTTTCAAATTGAGATGTGAAGAGTAGGATCTCTCTTCCAAAAAGTATCAAAGTTATTTTTCCATTACATCTTCCTATTGTACAAGAACTTGAAAAGAATAAGCACTACAAGATGAAATCAAGAAGTATTGTCAAGTAAAAAGAATACATAGTTATGAAAACTAAAAGTGAAATGTGTTTCATGTTGAAAATATATGTATATATATATATATAAATAAAAATGGTATTAAAAAGAAAATGTAATAAAAATTTGGGGTAACAAGCAGCATTACAGGCCTTGAGAATCAAAGATTCAAATTTAAATTAAATACTTGTGCTTCCACTCCCAAACAGATTCAGCAAATATAGCTAATTTGGTTCAAAAGACTCTTTGAGAGTGATCTATGTTAAAAAGAAGTGTGTTTGAGGAACTTCTACTTACTCCCAAATATCAAAGGTTCTGTTTGATTTAACAAACTTAGTCTGCATAGAATGTATAAATAAATTATAAAAGTGAAGATCAGTGTTTTTAATTTGCATTTAGATTTTTTTTTAAACTGCAGACAAAAATTTGGATGTTTTAGACAGCTTGGATAAGAAATCTTTTTTCAATAATACAAGATTCTATATCAACAGACTTTTACAGACATAATTTTTTTTTTTTTTTTTTTCTCAAAAGTAATTTTCAAATGCCAGTGGAAAACAACATTATAAAATGAAACTCAACAATCAATACAGATATTCATTAAGTTTAGCTCTGTCTGGCACACACAGCCACAATTGGGGCACTCTCTTGAATTCACAACTCTAGCAATAACCTCTAAGACTAGCCTGATAATCATTATGGCAAGCATTTAAATTTTAATTTATTAGCTCATATTTTTTTAAAAAGTGAAATGCCAAAATAAGAGTGGTGCAGAAAAGTTTTCAGCCTGATCAAGAGGAATTACATAGAGCCATGAAGTGTACAGGCTGTGCCACATATTCACCCTACAGTTCGACATGATTTCTTAAGTTCTATAATTCTTCCAAGAAATATTCTGATGCTTTGGGAAATGGACTGAGACTCAGAACTTTTCAGCAGCACCCTCATACATTAGGTATTTAGAAAAATATATTTACATAGACAATTGCATAGATGTATACACCTATTTGTACAACATACGCAAGACACTACACATACACACAAACTATAAACATTTACAAAACGTACATTTCATATTTTATATGTGCATACTGCACAACCTATACATTATGAACAAATACCACACATACCCACTGAGATATATATATATATATATATATATATATATATATATATATGAGACTTATCAGAAAAAATATGCAAACATTTTTCAAGCTAGGAGATTTGCAGGCAACAAGTGGGATACAATAGTACATGAATGATAACAAAATGTTGAATTAGTACATAATAGTATGTTAAAAAGAAAAATGAACTTAAGACCATTGTCATTAGTTTGTTTTAGATGGAAGTAGTAGTGGGAAAGTGAGCCCAGCAAGAGGACCTACCTTGGGAACAGGGAAGAAGCAATAGTTGTCGCGTATATGAAAGTGTTCAGGTAAGCATGCTACCATGCGAACATTGCAGAAGGCTTTTATAAGACTCACAGCGCTAAAGGGAAGAGATAAAGAATAGTTTATCAGTTCTGCCTGCATTTTGCCCCTTTTTTTAAAGTTTTTTTTCAATTTATTATGATTATTCTTTTCAGCCAATGTTCAAGTGTTAATGTATCATAAAAGGCACAACTTTTCGTTATATTTTTGGATTTTTCAACATTACGAACAGCATAAGTACAAAAAAGTGCTTATTACACATCAGTTTCAGTAATCCTTTCGTATTAAACAATTTTATAATACGATTTCTAATGTTATGAAGAAAATTTGGGATATCATGATAAAGAATCTTATCTAGACTGTACTCTCATCCAAATCATATCATTTCAATTTCACTGGATTTTGCATTTTCCACAAATCTTTTGCAAATTTATATAAGAATATATCCAATTTAATAGAATTCTTGAACATCCACGGATTATGTCTACATACACACACACATACATGGGATGTCCATAAAGTAAAGTACAGATAGGTATAAATAAAATGGAATTAAAACCTTGTGGTCTTTGTGCATAAACACAAATCAACAGGAGGTATGTAATATTTTTTTTACCGGCCATAATACTGAGTGCAAGCATATGTAGTGTCAAAACTAAGACTGCTTCCATACAGCAGTGTGTAGGTGGGGGAGGGCAGCTGCCATACAGCAGCGTGTAGGTTGGGGAGGGCAGAGTGTACAATGGCCCAAGGCATCCACTCAAAGAGTGAAATAAAAATTTAGTTTATATTTAATTTTAATAAAGTGTTTATTTCAAGTTTCATTTGTTTTTACATATTTAAAATATCTTCCTTTATCACATTTCTTAGTACTAGGCTCTATGGTCTTAGAGGGCATACAACCAAGGAGTTGGCCCCAGGCATCACCAAACCTCTGCATATCACTGCTGCCATAAAACAACAAAACAATACAAATGCAATGTGTAAGGAGATTTTTGCATGCTAAAAGCACAAATCTAACTTTTAGTACCAGAACACAACTTCCAGAGTATAGGCATTTCTTTCCAGCTTTTGTATAGAGGGAGCTAGATGGAAACCTTCTGGAGCAAATGATCACAGGTGATAAGACCCCTGGGTGCATCAGGTTACTCAGCACACAAAGGTTGATTCTGTGACATGGAAACATACACCATTACCTCACCTGCTCAGCAGAGAAACTGATGGTAATGTAGTGTTTCAGATAGAATGCTCCACCTAGCAAGCAGATAAGCGAGAGGAGTTAATTCCCTTGACACAATAAGGACAGCCAAGTTGGATTAAGACCCTTGTCACAGTTAAATTCAGTCTGATCCAGAGAGGAGGTGCTACAACCAATGTTCAGACTCACACCACGGGTAATGAAGATATTCATAGATGGTATTTGACAACCTCACCTCAGCTCAAAAGGTAGCAATCTTGTACAATTCAAACCTTATTGACTGTATGTACCATGTTTAGGCTATGTTATATTGTTGTTTTACATTGTTGCATTTAATAAAAATGGTAAATTTATTTTGGCACTCTTCATTTTCCTTTAGTACTTCATATTTGTTATTGTTAGGAAGCTGTTATGAAATAACAACCCAACAGCAACTATATTCTGGGATGCAAAAGGTATACTTGCTCATCAGCTTCATACTGCATGGTCAGACAGTTGAGGCAGTTTGATGCTGTGAAACACTGGAGAGAATGAAGGAAGCTGTTCATCAAAAAAGACCAGGATGTTTGTGTAAGGATGCCATCCTGTTGCATGACAAGGTCACTTCACAAGACCAACATGATAAAAAGAGTGACTTATACAATATAGTTTGAATGTTTTACAAAATATTCTCCTTTATATCATTGTCTGTTCATGTCCCATAAATAACATTTACCAGAAAGTGGGTTCCATACAGATGTGTGACTCCAGTTGATTGTTATTAGAATTTTAAAGGTTGGTATTTATGCACTGATGAGACAAGTGCACCAATCTCAATGATTACATTGAAAAGTAGCATTGTAATGATGGTAACATAAGCACTGCATTTTATTGGTATAGTAATAAACATGGATTAGTAAAGGTTTGCACTTTACTTCTCAGACGTCACAAATATACAAGACAGTTTTTTTTTGTTTTTTTACACAACACTTCTTGAGCTTTCAGTGAAAAATAATAATAATAATAATAAACAGAGGTTTATGTTTTATTGATCTATTTTACATTTTGACAACTTCTCTAAACACTTTTTTTCCTATTCTAACCACTTAAAAATTAGGGAGTGAAGAGTCCAGATTGCTGTGGTCCTCCTTTGCCAACTGTCAGGAGGATCAATAGTTTTATTTATTTGTTGTTTAAAATTTTTCAGCAAGGTTTATCATACAAAAAAATAAAAAAAATAATGATATGTCAAAAGTAAATTTTTTCTCTTGACACTGTCATTACTCTATAACAGTGTTTCTCAACTGGGGTTCCCCAGAACCCTAAGACTATGCAAAAGGTCCCCAAGGGTTCCATGAGAACAGGTGAGATAAAAAAAATGTCAAAAGTGCATTAGCTTATTTAATTTCATATACGTAATATTACTAAACACACAATATATTCTTGGTTATTGTAATATAATATAGACATCATACTATCTAACCTATTATATTATTAAAATATTCTTAGCTCATTTATTGGTTCACAGAACATTTTGCCTTGATTTACCTTATGTCTTGACAAAGAAATATTAATTTTTCCTTAAACCAGTTATTCAAAAATATATACTATGTTATTTACCACATGAACTACGATGAAAATAAAATGAGAATGATATTGTATATAATTTTGTTTTTGTGCAGGGGCTCCTTGAGACATGTAATTTATTTTAAGGATTACAGAAGGGTAAAACAGTTGAAAAACACTGATCTATAGAGTAATAACAGCATCAAGAGAAAAAATGTACTTTTGACACCTCAATAATTTTTATAGCTTTAAAAAACTATTTTTAGAATTTTAATGCAAATTCAACATATGAAACTGGATTTTTACATTTTTTTTTTACAAGGATTGACAACAAAAATGTAAAACACTATTTTATTTATTAAACAATTTACAAGAATAATTTTATATTTACATGATTATAAAAATGTGGACCAACTACAATGCAATATTTATTATTTACCATTTTATTTGAGAACTATAGAGCAAGAAAATTTAAATAAACACATAATCAGTAAGTTTATTTATACATTTTGAAAAAAAAAATGTATGTATAAATCCAGATGCTTGCAAA